CAAACAACAAGCTGGCCAGCTATCATTGAATTGACACCAATTCGACTTATCCAAGCCATCAGTAAAAGCACAACAACACCATTTACTGAGCATATCAAAACCATGCCAAGAACAACATAGTACTTCGACTATCTACGGTTGCACACTTGGAACTAAGAACAGGAATAGTCATTTGCATGCAACCAACTTCCATAAAAGGGAAACTGTTCAAGAAATAATAATAAGACCAATCCCGCAAAGTAAATAATTTCCAGATCTTAAAAAAAGAGCCAGAGTTTTTAACAAAGGCGTTAATACAATTAGATTCACATTTGAGATACCAGAAAGTACAACTACGGACTACCAATTAAGGGAAAATAGGACAAAAAATTAAAAACCAAAAGAAACCTCCAAAATGATCAACGGATAGATGTAGCATTGCTTCATCAACTTCAAATTCAACATACTGTCAGTCATCCACCACATGAAATGCCCATAAACCCTAGGAGCCAAATTGAAGCCCAATCTTACCCGAAATTAATTGAGAAAAGCAGAATCATAAACAAACAAGACACGAAAACACAACCCAGATCCCTTTACCGTGATCCATTGCAGCAAACGGGTCTTTTTGTTTCCTCACTTAGCAACCATCCTAGCAATGAAATCCTCGTACCGGATCTTCCCATCCGACCCGACGTCCACCTCCCGGATCCACTCGTCGAACTCGGCGGGCTCCAGCTTCTCCCCAATGCTGGTCAATATGTGGCGCAGATCCTGAACGGAGACAAAACCAGTGGAATCCTTGTCGAGCACCTTGAAGGCGTCGCGGAGCTGTCGATCGAAGGGCTCGGCCTTCATGTGCTTTCCCATTAGGTCGAGGAACCTCGGGAAATCGAAAGGCGCGGTTAGTTTCTCCTCGGCGACGATGGCCTTGAGCTGGGCCTGGGTCGGGTTCCCGCCGAGAGAGCGCATGAGGATACCGAGCTCGGAGGGAGCGATTTTGCCGTCGCCGTCGGTATCGAAGAGGACGAAGGCTTCCTTCATCGAGTGAACCTGGTCGTCGCTGAGATCCTTCCCCATGCTTCTTCTCTTTCCGGTTCGGGTTTCGCGGTCTCCGATCGGATCGCTCCCCTTTCTTTCTTCAAGGCAGAGGAAATTGGCCTGGGGAAATGGAGATTGTCTTTGAGTATCTTTTCCTTTGTAAGCTTTTTTCTGGCCAAATGATTTGCTGTTGTTAGGGAAAAAGAATAAAAAGCGTATGGCAGTTATCTCGCTTTAATACGGTGTCGTGGACCGGGAAATATCGTGGTGGGCTCAGGGGCCCACATGGCCATTGTGAGCTGTGGCAGGCTTTTTACCAAACGGGATCCGTTCAATTTTTTTTTTTTTTTACCAAAGGTATTGCTTTTCATTCATTGTGGCGGGAAAAAAAAAACAGCTGTTTACAGAAGGTGGGAGATAACATCAAGAACATGAACCCAATGACTTGGGAGAACATTTTTTGCTCTAGACTTAGCTACCCAGTTAGCTTTCGTGTTATCAGCCCTCTTGATGTGGGAGACCTTGATCCAGGGGTGATCTTCGAGTGCCTTAATGGTGCGTCCAATCCATGCTGCCGCCCGCCATGGCCACGGTCTCAACAGTCCTTGCACAGCATTGACGATGGTCAGGCAATCAGATCGGACCAAACATGGACCCTGGAGGCTGGATGCCAGTAGAGTTCCTTCAAACAGCGCTTTTGCTTCAGCTTCAATTGATGAAAAACAATGCAGGGATTCAGCTACCCCGTCACACACTTGTCCATGGACACTTGATACAACAACGCCATATGCCGCCTGTTGTGAGGTTTCAAAGAATGAACCATCACACTGTATTTCAAAGAGATGAATACTCGGCGGTGGAGTAGGGTGATCCGGGGATGGGTTTAACTGAATAGGAGGTGGAGGGGTTGCTGGTTTAGCAGGGCAACAATCCCACTGATGTGACTCATTCACAGCCTTAGAGATGGTACTAGGTGGCCAGGGAGGTTTCTTTCGGAAAATAAATTCATTCCTGGCTTTCCACGTCTGCCACAACAGGAAGACAACTTTATGGACTGTGGGGAGGGGATACCTGTCTTGCAGTGCGAAGAGCCAGTCAAGCAAATAGGTGGAAAAGGGGGGGACAACCAGAGAAGGCCAGCCCTGGAACCACCCAGCAGCCGCGTGAGGGCACTCAAACAAGACATGATGGATCGATTCAATAGCCTCAGCACAGAGAGGACAGGCTTTTGTCACCGAGCACCGCCGAGAGAAGAGATTTTCCTTTGTTGCAATAGCTCATCTGGTGCATTTCCAAATAAAGAATTTCAGTTTTGGGGGGAGGGAAAGGCTCCATAGCCATTTCCATTTCTGTTTACTCGATATGTCAACCACCTGGGAATTTTGTTCCCTCCGCAACAAGTTATGAATCATGTGAAAGGCAGACTTGACTGAGAAGTCGCCACTATCCGTGAATCTCCAAGCCCAGATGTCCTCCAAAGAGTCTGGTCCAATTGGGGTGGCCGACACCTGTAAGAGATCCGAGGGGCTAAGATAACCAGCAAGAAGGTCAAATCTCCACTCCCGATGGATCCCATCAATCCACTGGTCCACTGTTGTCTCGTCTGGCCATTCAAAATCAAGGAGCTTGCCCGGTCGATCAAATCTCCAAGGGTCTTGGAACATTCGTGTTGATTTCCCGTTTCCAATGACTCTAATGATGCCCTGCTTCATCCATTTGATTGCTTCCCAAAGGCTAGCCCAAATCCAGGATGCCTTCCCCCCTTTCTTCGCAGTTAACAAGTCCGTCTTAGGGAAGTAGATGCTTTTCAAGACCCTTACCCATAAAGCTTCAGGATTAGTGATAGCTCGCCAGACCTGTTTTGCCAATAGTGCAAGGTTGACAGTGTGAAAGGGTCGGAAGCCAAGCCCTCCTTCTTCTTTTGGGGCATACAGAACATGCCCGGCTCTCCAATGGATTGTTTTCTTTGATGTTGATCCGCTCCAGAAAAAAATTTTGAGCATGGAGTCCATCCTCTTTGTTGCTGATCTTGGGAGGAGAAAGAGACACATGATGAAGGAAGGCACTGCCTGGAACACAGCCTTAAGAAGAACTTCTTTGCCCCCAGGGGAGAGTAGAAGGCTCTTCCAGGACTCCCCTCGAGACTCCATTCGTTGGAGAAGGAACTGGAATGTTTCCTTTTTTGATCGCCCCCATTCAGTGGGGACTCCAAGATATTTAGAGTGGATCCGGTCTTCAGCAAAACCAGTGCTATGAGTGATAGCTACCTGTTCCTCCGGGGTAACATTATTCAAGTTGACCTCTTGACCCGTTATTGTACCATAGTCTTTAAGAATGCTGAGGATGAGGTCTGCTTCCCTAACAGATGCCTTTCCAAAAATCACTGTGTCATCCGCGAAAAGGCAATGGGTGAGAACAGGGCAATTATTATTCAACTTAATCCCCTTGATCACCTTCCTCTGGGAAGCTTTTTCAATCAGAAAAGAAAGAGCATTAGACATCAGAATAAACAGGAGGGGGAGAGGGGATCCCTTTGACGGATGCCTCGAGAAGGAGTAAATTCATTCGACGGGGTTCCATTAAACAGGAGCCTGAACTTAACAGTTGAGATGCAAACACGATGAAACTTAACAGTGGTTTATTGTTCAATAAAATGATGGGCCTAGCTTACTTCAAGCCCAATAGTATTATTCAGTTATGATGAAACTTCTCTGTAACAAGATGCGGCCCAAACTCTGGATGGACTGCAATTTAGCGTTTTTGTGTCGAAACGGTGAGTTCTTTGCTGTGTAAGACTCCTTCTTCTTCTTCCTCAAGTCCGTGCTTTGGCCGAGTCTCTGCAGCTAAGAACAAGAAACAGAGCAGCAAAATAGAGGTGAATTGAAACTAAAATGCAGAATAGACAACACCATATTTTTTCTTGGTTTCCGGTATGCAATGTGCAATACCGACTAGTCCACGACCAAAGAGGTTCAGTGTGAACCCTTTGGTGATCACTAAGATGATTTGTATCCAAGTTACACAATACAACACCCAATTGAGTACCCAATCTCTCAATGACTCCCTGTCACAGATTAGAATCCCTTTCAAAGTTCTACTCCCTGCAGAACTCTGACTTTGATACTCCTAACTCTCAAGTTATCTCCATGATAACTCTCCTTTTCGTTTTAATAGCTCGTACACTTTGTAACTCCTATTGAATTGTTGTGCTCGAAAAAGGTGAATGTTCCCTCTGCTATTCTACCCTTTATATAACATTTTTATTGACCGTTGAGTGATCATGGTTCGTGATTGCCGCTTCTGATCTTCATATCCAGACCTCCCCTTTTTTATTCTTGCTCTTTATTCCTCTTTCCATATTTTCTCGGTGCCATTGATCAAGATTCTTCCAACAAACTCCCCCTAAACTTGTCATTGGCTCCTCCTCTAATCTGCACACAGGTAACACATGATTGGTGCAGCCTGTTCTAATGTAGAGACCGAGAAAATCACATAGTAATCACAAGATACTGAGAGAGAGTCATTTATTCATTAACTAAGCAAGATTTAACAGAATATCTATAGCAAAACTCAACACAAATCCAAAAGTCATAACACTCAATCTACTAGTACTTTGATGCTAGACTCTCCCCCTACAGTTACTTCCTATGACTCTAGAAGGGATAATCTGGTGGAGACTCATAATCCGAAATCCCTTCTGCTTCTTCAGTCTCGGAATCAGAACTCATTGAGTCATTAACAGTTCCTGACTCATATACGAACTTGGGCCACATTAGATCTCTTTCCCTAAGTCTCTTCAGAGTGGCGGTTGGCTTCCCTGCCATCGAGGATTCTCGCTTAACTACAGTCACGTCTGCATCCATAAGTGCTCCTACTAGGTTTCCTGACACATATGACTCTGCGGGACTGACTTTGACTCCCCCTGAGCCATTGACGACCTTACGGGGGCCAACTTCAGCATCTAACTTAGCCAGGACATGCTAAGGACACAGGTCCTCCAGAACATTGCAAAGAGTGATCTTGTCACGAATATCGATCCCTAGCTTGTACAGGAGCTTAGTGATCTGTGGGCCAAACGGCAGAGGACCACTAAAGTACTCCATACCGTACTTAATCATGTGGTGAAACATGAGGGATGCATAACTGATTTGGCGACCAGCTCTAGCATTCGACAGGATGTAGAGATCCGAGGAGTGCAGTACATCAGTACTTGAAAGGTCTCGAGGCAGAAAGCATCGAGTAATGAAGAAATGGAGGACTTTCAGATCGTCATGGAGACGCCCAACTGCGAGTTGAGTGGGATAAAATCGACCTATATCCCGGGTGAGAGTTTTTAGAGCAGCAGTAAAGGAGAACCCACGATCTGTGAATTCCCCATCCGTTCCAGCCAGAAACCCAGAATGAGGGATGTCAAGAAGAGTTGTCAGAAGCTGCGGGGTGACCTTGATCTCATAGTCAAACACAATTGTGGTAAAGAAGGATGGATTACATCCATGACCACACTTGATGTTGACATAGAATTTGCGAACAACTTCAGGACAATAGTTGAACCTCATGTCTTCAACCAGAGAACTCCAGGCAAGAACATGGAGAAGAGATGGGACGTCCATGTCATATTTATTGAAACCAGCAGGATTAATAGAGAACGAGGGATAAATCTTCATGTATCTGAATTGTCAAAGGTAACGAGAGTATGCAACAACATTGCGATACCCTTGATTTTTGAACACATCTGCGGGATACAGTTGAACATGGTTTAGAGTCATGTCTGGGGAAGGGAAAAGATGATATACTGACTACGACAGAGGACTAAGATGATGAACCCTAACGGAGACGGAAATATATAGAAAAGGAGGGAGGGGAGGATGGAAAGTGAGGAGACACTTTAAGGAAAGTTTTGATAAGTCATAAACACATAAATCGAAATCCTAAGAAAGAAAGGTAAGACTATATTCTTAGATAAATCCTTATAGAGATTCAATCACAGAGATTTCAAACAAGCCAAGTTCACGGCGAATGGGAAGGAATTTGTCTGCCCCAAGAGGTTTTGTAAAAATGCCAGACCACTGCATTGTGGTGTTGACACATTCTAGACTGATTTTTCCTTCTTGGACCAGGTCACGAGTGAAGTGATATCTTACTTCAATGTGCTTGGTACGAGAGTGTTGAATTGGATTTTTTGTCATGTTAATTGCACTCGTATTGTCACACAGAATGGGAAGCGAACCTAACTCTAGACCATAATCCTGAAACTGATATTTAAGCCATAGCAATTGAGTACAACTCAGACCAACAACTATATATTCTGCCTCTGCGGTGGACAAGGAAACAGAATTCTGTTTCTTGCTTGCCCATGAAATGAGGGAAGTCCCCAAAAAATGACAAGTACCAGAGGTACTTTTTTGATCAACTATGCATCCAGCATAATCAGAATCACTGTAACTGATTAATTCTAATCTAGACTCGCACGAATACCAAAGTCCCAAGTGGGTAGTTCCACTAAGATATCGAAAGATTCTTTTGACAGCAGTTAGATGACTCATTTTAGGACTGCTTTGAAATCTTATGCAAACACAGTCGTTGTACATTATATCAGGTCGACTTGTTGTTAGATACAGCAGTGAACCAATCATTCCTCGATACATTCTGTCATCAACAGCGATACCAGAGTCATCTTTTGTTAATTTTACCATGGCTCCCATTGGAGTTACAACCGTTTTAAGATTTTTAAGATTAAATTTCTCAAGCATGGTCAGTAAGTATTTGGTTTGACTTATAAAAATTCCTTTCTTAGTTTGCTTAACCTGTAATCCTAGGAAGTAGGTAAGTTCCCCCATGAGACTCATTTCAAAGGCTCCTTTCATGTCTTGTTCAAATTCTTTACAAAAGGAACTACTTGTAAACCCAAATATTATGTCATCAACATACACTTCTACTAGCAGAGTATGAGATTTTTCCTTTTTTAATAAACAGAGTTTTAACTACTGCACCTCTATGAAAACCCTTGTCTAGTAGGAACTTAGTTTTTCATACCAAGCTCTAGGAGCTTGTTTAAGTCCATAAAGTGCTTTATTAAGTTTGTACACATGATCTGGAAATTCATAGTCTTCAAATCCCGGAGGTTGGGATACATAGACTTCCTCCTTTATGTCACCATTTAGAAAAGCGCTATTTACATCCATTTGATACAATTTAAATCCCTTGGAGGCAGCAAAAGCACAAAGCAGCCGTATGCCTTTTAGCCTTGCCATGGGGGAGTTTCGTCAAAATCTATTCCCTCTTGTTGACTATACCCCTGAGCAACTAACCTAGACTTATTCCTAGTGACTTTCCCTACTTCGTTAGATTTATTTCGATATATCCACTTGGTTCCAATTATTATTTCTTTTTTCCAGGTTTGGGAACAAGTTGCCACACATTGTTTCTTTTAAACTGATTCATTTCCTCATGCATTGATTCATTCCAGAATTCATCATCCAATGCTTCGTGCACATTCTTTGGTTCAATTAACGACACAATGGCAGTTTGTACTTACGAAAATTTGGATCGAGTAATCATACATTGATTGATGTTGCCAATTATTTGTGATGATGGATGTCTTTTCTGTATGTGTGGTGGTGCCTGAATGTTCTGCTCCTCTGATGTATCTTCCTCTTCACTTGGAACAGTTTTAGCTTGAGTACTTTGGTTTTCTATTCTGCTGTTTTCCTCAACACTAGACTGCGTGCGTCCAAGTCCAAGATCATCATCTTCTTCGATGAGTTCTGCACACTCACTTGAAGATTCATTGATGGACTCCTCTATCTTGAAGGTCTGTTTATAGTAAATCCTATATGCCTTGCTGTTTTGAGAGTAACCCAGGAAAATGGATTCTTCTGACCTAGAGTCAAACTTTCCAAGATTATCTTTAGTGTTTAGTATGAAGCATCTACATCCAAATGGATGAAAATACCCTAGGTTCGGTTTCCTTCCTTTCCATAATTCGTAGAGTGTTTTATTCAGTTTGGATCTTATTAATGCACGATTTATTATGTAGCAGGCTGTATTTACAGCTTCTGCCCAGAAATGTTTGGCAAGACCATAGTCGTTTAGTATTGTCCTAGCAATGTCTATTAAAGTCCTGTTCTTACGCTCTACCACACCATTTTGCTGTGGTGTTCTAGGGGCAGAAAAATTATGAGATATTCCAGATTTTTCACAAAATAGTTCAGTTTTTTCCTGACACAAACTCCCCACCATGATCACTTCTAATACTAACAACTTTAGTTTCCTTTTCATTTTGAATTCGCCTGATCAGATTTTTAAAGTTCTTATAAGCATCACTTTTGTTTGATAAAAAAAGAATCCAAGTAAACCTGGAGAAGTCATCTACTATCACAAATGCATAGGATTTTCCACCCAAGCTCATGACATTGCTTGGTCCAAACAAATCTAAATGCAACAGTTCCAAATGTCTTTGTTGTAGATATGACTTGTTTACTTTTGAAAGAGGTTCTGACTTGTTTTCCTTTTGTACAAGCTTCACAGAAAAATTCCTTCTTGCAGTTTACCTTAGGAAATCCTGTGACTAGATTTAAACTGACCAATTTTGATAAGGAACCTACACTTACATGACCTAACCTCCTATGCCACTCTAGTTGATCATTTTTTCAACTGATACTAGACACATTTCATTAAAGGCAGTTTTATCATTCAGGTTTATGCAAAACAGTTTTCCTTTCCCTTTTCCAGAAAATAAAATTGTTCGATTTTCAATATTTTCAACCTAGCATCCATTAGGTTCAAAGACTACTCTATTTGACTCTCCACACATTTGGCTTATTGAGAAGAGGTTATGTTTTAATTCATTTATGAGCATCACATTTTTAATTTTTGGAGCGGTTCCTACTTCCCCTTTGCCCAGAATATCAGTACTATAGTTATCACCAAAGTAAACTTTACCTTTCTTTCCTTTAACCAATTTTGTGAAGAGTTTTTTCATTACCAGTCATGTGGTGTGAGCATCCACTATCCAGAATCCACTCGCTGTCTTCCATGCTCACTTGGAAGCAGACCTAATTCAACAATGGTGTTCATTTCCCTTTTGGTAACCACACTAATCTAGAGGTTTTAGCCTTTACATTAGGAGTTGGACATACAAAACTCTTATGACCAAGTTTATGACACGTGAAACACATTGTGGATTTCAACCTGTCTTCCTTAGCTATTCTTCTTTTACAATTAGCAATATAATGTCCAGTTTGATGACAATAAAAACACTCTACACTATCTAGATTATGATTAGCTACCAAGCGCCTTGTTTTTATATGTTGGGTGTCTGTTCTCCTATTTACTATTTCACTCTTCTTCTTGTATTCAGCTATTTTATCTTCTAACTTATCATTCCTGTACAATGCTTCTTTAAACTGTAGCTCTATGCATAGCTTTTCTTCTTTTAGCTCATTATGTTGGTTAATTAATTTTTCAAATTCCGACTTGAGCTTTGTATGGTTTATCTGCACATTTTTTAATTCAATCTGTATATCCCTTATAGTTTCACTGATTTGATCATTTTCACTATCAGACTCAGAGTAGTAGTTTAGTGTTCTTACCTGTGAAGAGTTGCATTCATCTTCACTTTCTCCACCTACCATGGGTGCATCTTGCCTTTTCTCAGTCTCTACTTCATCGTCATCATCTTCACTGCAACTCCAGGTAGCTGCATATGCCCTTTCTCATCTCAGTTGTGGACATTCAGCCTTTATGTGGCCATTTCTTCCACACTTGAAACACCCAGCTTGAGAAGTGCTCTTCTCATTCCCGTTTATTTCTTTTCTGAATCTGGACATTTGCCGAGAGGACTTGGATTGATCTTTGTGTGACTCAGCTTCCCTTGAGCGACTCATGAAGCCGCCCTTTTTCTTATCCTTACGCAGCTTGATTAGTTTAGCCACATGTTTACTCAACATGGCTAGTTCATCATGTTTCATATCTTCTAGATTGTCCAGTTCTTCTTCTTGTTCAGTAACTCTGAAGGCTATACCCTTTTTCTCTTTTCTGGGTTCTTCACTCTCTTCTCTTGTCAGCTTATCTTCGTGAGTGACTAGAGATCCCATGAGTTCATCCAGACTCAACTTGGTTAGATCATTGAATTCTTCTATAGCAGTCACCTTGGGAGTCCACCTCTTAGGAAGCACCCACAGAATCTTACGAACTAAGTTAGCACTCGCATATTCGACTTCGAGAGTTCTCAAACTATTAACTATGGTACTAAACATGTCGTTCATCTCCTTTATAGACTCTTCAGGCTTCATCACAAAGGTTTCGAACTCTTATTTCAGCTTATTAATTATAGAGATCTTTACATGAGATGTACCTTCATGTGCGATTTGGAGTTTGTCCCAAATTTCCTTACCCTTTTTGCACCCAGTGACTCGGTGATATTCCTCAAGGCCCAAGGCGCAGTACATCAAGTTCGTTGGTGATACCAACAATGGAGGATTGTTGAGTGATTGTTACCGCCTCGCCTCGTACACTTTGGAGACTCCAATTTGGAGTATATGAGGAGCTCCCCGAATAGAAATGAAAGACAAGGGAGAGTTGTTAGTGAAGAGGGAGGAAGGAATGACAGTTGAGCTCGTGAAGTGAGGGAGGTTATGGATTTCGACTGGAAGGGAAGAGAGGATATGGAGAGATGCTTGAGCGATGATGGTGAAGCTCGTGAAGGCCGAAGATCGAAGGGGAGAGGAAGGGTGGGTAGGGTTAGGTGAGGTAAGTGTGGGCTTTGGAGGCTTTTCAGAAATGAGCCTATAAGTCACTGTGCTAGGGGGAATGGATGGTTCGGTTGTTCGGTTCGGACAATGAAGAATCGGTTTGGTTCTATCCGAAACAAACTCTGATTACCAGCTTTATAGGTTCAGAATTCCAACCCATACACTCATTCACGCTCGATTTGTTCGATTCAGGTACTATTCGGTTAGTAAATATTTTCTACACGCATAAATTTTACTGACCGGTTTAGACGGAAAACCCACCAAGAGATCAACGGTGGTAAGCAGCACAAGTGATCCATTCTCTGTCTGGATTTTAAAGGGGGTCACGTCAAACTAATTACCAATTTACTGCCTCTTTTTCTACCCCTCAGCGGAGTCATTCGTCCTGTCGTGTCCTCTCGTCTCCCCGCTACAGTAGTAACAGTCCTCCGGACGTATAGCCCCTTGCTTTCCTCCTTCCTATGCTCTTCTTCGTTAAAGGTAAGTAGTCAATAATCTCTTTCTGCAAATTTCCACAAGAACATCTCAAGGCAAAGTAAACAAAGAATGGGAAGGAAACGCAGTGCTTCTTCTACTCCTGAGCCGGCACAAGTAGCCACCTCGCCACTCCCTTCGGTAAATCACAACTCAAACAACCCTTTTCCCCCTTTGTACTTGGCTTCTCCTGTTTCCCTTTCTGTAGGGTTCCTTTTCGCATGCATGGCATTCTTGTACAAAACGATGTTCTATTTGCGACCCTCTCTTTATCTAGAGGTTTATTCACGGTCTTTTATTTGATTGTGTTTGATGAGATGGTTTCCCTCTTTCCCGATTAGGGTTTTGTGATGGCTCTGTTCTAGTATATATCCAGTGGGGAAGGTTTTATTTCTGCACCACATGCAGATTTGGTGCAGGAATCGAACCTACATTTATTCATGAGTGAACTGTGTAATCAAACTAATGATGTATGGCTACATGATGTTCTTGGCATTCTCAGTCGGGATCACCCAACCCGCAATCTGCAATCCCTAATCCAGGGGATAGTGTGGCGTCTCCAAAGGCGGTGAACAAGTCAGCTTCTTCCTCAAAAAAGAAGGTAAAGATGACCCCTGGCGGAGTTAGGCGCTCTAACCGCCTCAAGAGCGGTGTTAGGACTACTACTGAAACTGAAGCTCAGGAAATTGAGCGAATTATTGAGGAGATAACTTCAACTGATAGCGAGGAGGATGAGGAAGAAGATCAGCAACCCAACACGGTGGAAGAAGCCAAAGAGGTGGAGGAGGAGGAGCAGGAAGAAGAAGAAGCTGGGGAAGTGCCGGAAGAAGATCAACACCCCGTGGTGGGGAAAGAAGGAGCCAAGGAGGTGGAGGAAGATCTTGTGCTCGAGACTAATGAAATTGGGGATTGTTGGGAAGGACTTGTGGAGATTTGCAAGAGACAAAAGAAGACCATGGCTGAACTGCAGGCTCAAGTAAGGATCCATTTTTCTTTTTTGCAAGTTTAGTTGGGTTATCACCAGTCATGATTGTTGTTAAGATTGCACATCAGGATGCTGCGAGAGCCTCGCGGGCGAAGAAGAGAAGTTCTGCTGCGCACTTGACGTACAAAGGCTTGTACTTTGATACCATTAAGGAGGTTTATGTTACCCTCAACTGTCACAAGTGCTTGCATATAAAAAATTGTTTTAGATGTATTAATGTTCTTGGTTTGAATGTTCAGGTGGTTGTTTTACAAGAGGAGAACCGTCGGTTGATCAAGGAGTTGGAATATGCTCGTGGCAGAGACGCGGGGGTATGTAGTACTAACTACTAAGTGCTTTCCGATCATACTCAATACTTGGAATTTGGGTACTTCTTTCTCTAATTTCTAAATTGACGTTGCTTCCTTAATAATCAATGCAGTTAACAGATGCACTGAAGTTAACTAGCAAGAGCTGCTGCTGCTCGAGAGCACAGTGAAAGGACTGCCTTTTGAAGTTAACAGGGGGCTTGGGGGGATTCTTTTGCTATGTTATTGCCCTATGTTACAATCAATCCCAGAGCCAATCAGTAGTTTAGTAGTAGTGGCTGTTTATATTAGTAGGTAATGGCTGTTTACAGATATGCACTGAAGATGCTGCTGCTACTAGAGAGCATAGTGAAAGGACTGCCTTTGGAAATTAACAAGGGCTTGGAGGATCTTTTGTTATGCCAGAGCCTATATTAGTAGGTTATGCTGTGTACCACTTAAAAAAACTGTTTTTGTTGAAGATTAACCATTCACTTGCCCTTTTGTAATGAAGAAGAATTACAAACAAGACAATTCCGCACTGTTATTCCCTTCATTTCCTTTTGAGCTCATAAATAGCATAATACACTTGGAACAACATAACAGCCACTCCAAAATTTACACATGGTGGACGATTTAAATGTACTGTTTCCTCTTGTGCTAGTAACTTAAGAATGATGCAATGGCATTCGACGGGATAGGTGTAGTGCTCTGTGATAGAGCGCTAATGGTTCATGTTTATACTGTTACTGTTCTTCTTCGAAGTACTTGTCAAGGGATGTAGACACGTCCAAGATGTTGGATCGCGGTGCCGGGCATCCAGCTTCATCATCTACATTGTTTCTGTTGTCATCGTCGTCTTGTGAGCAATCTGGAGAAGAGAAATCGAGCCCCATCCCACGAACGAGTTGCTCGTATGACGCAGAGAGATCTTGATTTGTGAGTTGGTGGTACTCCACAAGCTGGTTGAGGCACTGGTTTTCCCTGGTCAGATTAGCATTCTCGTTCGCCAGCCTTGACTTCTCAGCTAGCAGCGCCTCCATTTGCAGCCTCATCTGTGAAACAATCACCCACCATTATCATCAATCAGCCAAACAGAGATAACAACAACCAAGCCAATCAAAGGCAACTAGAATATGAATTAGTGTGTACAAGGTCGTCTTCCTCTGGCCGAATCCCAGAAGGGAAGCCATCTCGAAGCCTTCTATTCTCCTCCTCCAGCAGAGCACACCTCTCTTGCACAAAGTACATGTCGGATTTTATTGATTTGAGCTCCCTGGCCATTGCTCCTGCCTTCTTAGCCATGGAAACAGCTAGCTGCATAATGGAAACGTTATGGGTTTTGAGGATTCATTAAAGTCGTTCCCGAATCGAAAACCAATTGGAAATGACAAGAAAACACACATAGACATACGTTTTTGGCTTTCTGCAACTTATTACTGGTATTTGCCTTTGGGCCGCCATCATTGATTCCTTCCCCAACCGAGATATGATCATCCTCTGTTTCCAACTTCCTCTTGAGACCTGTGATTCCCTCTTTCTCTTCTTCATTCCCTTTGGAGCATTCGCGAGATTCGTCTTGTTGGGTTTCGGAGTTTTTGGTATTATTCGCTTGGAGTAGTTCGGTCAATGTCGGAGGCTCAGCCAGAGATCTAGCTCCCTATGAACAAACAAAAAATTGCCATGAAAGATCTTGAATTAAAAGAGCACTACTGGACCTTGCAATCGAAGGAAGAAGAAAAAAGGGGAATTTCCTACTTGAAGAGCGTTGTCGATGTTGTTGGAGAGGGCGGAAAGGGTGTGAGAGATGGAATCAAATCCTCTCATCAGAAGCAGAGCATCCTCCTTCCTCCGCTTCGCCCTGCCGGTCTTCTTGGATTCCACTTCGCTGCCATCATCCTGTGAAGTGTTCTCAGATCGACGACGGTGGCCTTCAAGGATGGAATCGACATGGCCGTTTAGAGTATTCCAGAAGCGCTTGTCGGAAGATGGACTGAATAGTGGAGAAGAGGAAGAAGCTGCCATGGGATCCTGTGGAGGGAGGAGGAAAGTCAGAAGATGGGGGAAATCCACCCACACAGAAACACGGCGACGGGATTGGAGGGGAGAAGGAAGTATTTTTTACCGGTGATGGGGAAGAGTGGACGGAAGTAGTCAGAGCCGGCGGCCGTTGGAGGAGTTGAAGATAAGAGCAACGGCTATTTCTCTGTGGAAGGAAGGGGGAAAAGAAGAAGACGGGGTGCGGGAATTTAAAACGTAAGAAGGGCTCCCTTGCAACGTTCGGAAAGCAAGCGGGATATTCCATTTCCAATTTCCCTTTTTACCCCTTTTCTATTGGTCTTTCTTTTATATTTCGAGCCACATTGTCAAACCAGTTTATACAGTAATACCGATTTATATTGTAGTATCGGTTTAGTAAGTGGTATGATTCGATCAGTGGTACAATTGATTTGTTTTGATTCATGTCGGTTTAACAAAAGTGGTAAATATGTGAAAAAGAATTAACATCAAACGAATTTAAACATATATAAAATAGAGAGGTGTCTCACTCGACACACCTCTGTCAAATTTTTTGTGAGAGATTCATATTTTTTTGTATTGAATATTCCAATACAGGAACTTCGACACACCTTCAATAATTATAACTGACACACCTTCATTATATTACAAGAAATTTGTTGCCATAAAAGTACTAAAATAGGTCATCATATGAGTTATCGAACTTAGATTAGGTAGTTAATTATTGCTTTACTAGATTAGGTAGTTAATTATTGGTTGTACTAGAGCAAATAATTACTTGACTACTTAATGTGTAGTTAATATTTAGAGAGATAAATATCATCTTAAAGATAACCTTAGTATTTCGAATGGAAATTAATTTGATTAATAAATAGGCGAGGCAAGTAATTGGATAGTGAATTCCATATCGTCCTTCCCCATATCTGCTTTCTATAGATTTTTCTAGAAATGAATTTCCCACTTGATTTCTAGTTTAGTTATTGATTTACGTTTAATTGATACAAAATTACTTTTGTTTTTCTTAGTTTCTTAATTTTAATCATTAAATCTAGAGTTGTACAGATTCCTGTAGCACGATAATAGACTTATCTCTATTAATCGATCGGTAATTCAGATACACATTTTATCGCATCTCTTCCCATTTTTTGTTGAATAAAAATGCAAAATTCATTTCCACTAACATCAAACCGCTCATCCCCTTAGGCCTTTTAAATTTACATTTCTTTCTCTCATTTTCTGTCTGTTGAGCATCGGGAGGTTTGATTTGCAACATAAGCCACATACGTATTTAAGAAATCATTATGGAATATACAGTTTATCATGGTTCGCTATAAAAAAACCTAGGAAAAATACATCTACATAGCCATAACTATCCACTTTGTGACAATAATAACTAAATTTTGAAAAATACACAGATATAGCCACAATTTAAATTTTATTGATATATTTAGCCATTTCCGTCTAATATTTTAACGGTGTTAAACGACCCCGTCAGTAACGTGGACTTTTTTGCCTGATGTGGATGCCACCTAGACGACACATGAGACCCACCTAGACCTGCCATACCACGTGGATGCCACATCAACGCCAAATCATCGTATACTTGACATGTCATATTTGAGTAAAATTATAAAAATTCCAATTGAGGAAAATATATCATTCTCTTCTCTCCCCTTCATTTTTCCTTTCTTCCCCTATCATCTCTTTGGCTAGATCTATTTTTTTTCCCGCAAAGTCAGTTGTTATAAAATCAAACATACAGAGAAAATAAAAAGAGTGCGGGAGTCGACCAATAGTCGAACTCCTGATGAGAGGGCCTTTTATGCCACATGATGGGCAGCCCTATTGAGACAACGGAGAACAAAACAGAAAGAAACCCAACTACAGAGAGAAGCCGAGCTCTGAGTATCCTGCAAGATAGTTCCATCCTGATCATGAGCCAAGTCACCTGTCTGAGGAAGTCTCTTCGATAACGGGAGCTCTTCTGCGTGCACCTACAAAAAAAACAAACAAAACACACAAGCGTCCCCACTGTAGGACAACTAAGCTCCACCAAATGGACTTAAACAAGCCATTAAGGCTTAGTCGGATACACCGAATCCAAAACTATGTCAAATTAATTATTTTTTTAAGAATAGTTAAAGAAAAGCAAAAAAATAAAACAGACGAAATTGACAAATAAAATGAATAAAAGGGAGAGTAAGTATCAAAAGAAAATAAATAAAAATTACTAATAAAAATAATGAAGGAAAAGGATAGCGGTTAATTAAAAAGATAAAGGAAATAAAAAATGACTAAATTGCAATAAAGTAAAAAAAGGAAATTGAGGAGTCTGTTTGAGTTACTTACCTGGAGCAGTTACGCCATTCCAAAAGGTGTGAAATTGTAATTAATTAAAAACACAGTTACCAATTACTTGCAGCAGATCTCATCGGAACCGTCCGTTCAGTTACCCCAGGTAACCGTTAGTCTTCTCACCTTTCTCCTCTCTGTCTCTATCCTTCGTCTCCACCTCCGGCCGTCATCATTCGGTCACAGAAGTCGTCATCATCCGGCCGTCATCACACAGATTTCATCTCTCACAATGACCACAAAATCAGTCCCTCCTTCCACGCGACCTAGTCCCAGGGCTGAAGATCCCAATCTCCTGCCTGTTGAACTTGATCCTCTGCGCCTCCTCCCTGGAAATCGCGAAGGCGTTGACGATCACGTCCCGGGGAATCGCCCTGATCGCTGACGCTCGGCCCGCAATCTGGTTGATCTTGGCCTTGTCGTTGGTCTTGAAGGAAATCCACTCAAGCCCATCGCTGCCGGCCCTCTTACTGTCACTGGTTTCCGGCGAAACCCCTCGACCTCCACTCTGTCTCTTCCACTTCCTCCTTTTAAGTCTATCGAACAGCACAGGCGGCTACTGCGTCCGGTGAACAACAGCGTTGCAGCGTCCAATTGAATTCTCAAAACAACCCTAGTCTAATTTGGTCTCCGAAACGGGAGAGAAAGCTGACCGGACTCTGCGATCCTTTGGATAGATCTATTAGCAGAGCTTCACTTTGTCTATGGCTTCTTCACCTCCTGCATACCACCGCCTCCACCTGCTACATACCACCACAAGCAATTGACCGAGAAAATGGTGTCTTAGGGTTGGCGGTTGAGAAAGGTATAGTGGGGAATCGACACAATAGAAATAGAAGGAGAGGATATCGAAGCAACTAGCCGCCGTGAAAAAAACCCCACTCCTCTCCGTCGTCCCAAAGCTTCCTCTGACAGCTGCAACAATAAGAAGAAGAATAGTAACATCAACAAATTCGTCGAATCAGCGCCGACCACCACCGCCAACATGAACCCCACCAAGCACTCTCCATATGGATAAGGATGAAACTTATAAATAAATGCAACTTTTCATATGGATAAAGACAACCTTTTGTATGGATAAAGACAACCTTGCGTATTGATAAAGGCACCCTTTCATGAAAACAATGCATGAATTCGGCTCCTATAAATATATGTGTGGGGTGGATGATGCCACATACCATCAAACATATTCTTCTTCTTTCTTCCAAA